TATTTTTTTTATAATATTAAGTAAGCTAAGATAGTTTATTTTGATTAAGTATATAGTCGAACTTGGATAAGAGAGAACCTTGAATAAGCGAGAGTTATTGTCCGGTTCAGAAGTATTACCACCATAAGGGAATACCTAGAGTTTGAGATAAGTTCTCGGTTATCCAGGTTCGACTGTACTCGTAAGCACATAGTAAAGTGCCAAATATTCGAGTTAAACTCGTTTTCATTTGGTATAATCAAATCTATGGTCATTGAATATACGAATATTTAAGTTTTTAATTGTAATTTTATACTAATTGATAAGTTAAATTAATAAATGTAATAATTATATGTTAATAATCTGTTTTATTATAGCTCCTAACAGACAGACACAAATAAACATTGAATCTTTATATACAATTTCGATTTTTTTTCTTTTTTTTTCTTCTTGAATTAAACTGTTTACTTGCACTATTTAGTTCAGCTAGACTCAGCCATATCGGTAAAGCCATTCTTGAGTTATAAATAGTGTAACTAACACGACTTTCTTTTATATGTATAGATTACAACTACATAAAGAGGAACTATGGAAGGGGAATGAATGAACAACTATACATTTGAGCAATTTATTAACTTTTTCTGTATATAAATTTGATTTAAATTCATACGAAAATGACTGAAGATAATTTACTTAGCTTTCCTAATGCACCCAAGTTGTGGGTAATTTAATAGAAATTCTTCGTTCGCGGGAACGTAGTCGACTCGCTCCGAGTGTGGAATTCAAACTAGAGAAAGAATTTTAATTAGCACGTGACGCGTCTTTCTAGGAATAGTTTTCCCTTTTTCATATATATATGAAAGCCAGAATTTCTCGAAAAAGTACTAGATAATATTAGACTGAGCTAGTGGACTAGAATATTGTTCTAGCCAATAAAGTGTATTAATCCTTTCTATATATTTTCTAAACATAATTAATATATAAAAAACTAGCTGTCGCCCGAGACTCCGTCTGCGCGGAATTCCAGGGTTTGTTCTATATGTATGCCAAATTTCATCGTGATCCGTTCAGTCGTTCTGGAGATACCTTTAAACAAACATCCATCCATCCATCTCAACATTAGCATTTATAATTAGTAAGTTATCATCCTTTCTAACATCCACGCTAAGAATCTTTTACCTTTACCTGATATGTAAAAAGGTAAAAATTATATTCGGAAAAGTTCATAAGACAATTATATCTTTTATATATAATATTTAAACAAAGACATAAGCTAATAATTTATACTATATCAAATAAACTATATTCTTAAACCAAACCAAACTAAAAATAAAACTAAATAATATAAAATCGACCCCAAAGCGCAGGGTAGGGTACCCAAGAGGCTGGCGGCATTTCCCCATAAGTTATTTTGAGTTACGGAATAGAAAATTAGCAATAGGAAGAAAGGAAGTTTTATTATACTTAGTTCCACAGAAAATAATATCTTTATCCTTTTAACGGCAAATTGATGAAAAGAAAAACTAACATAGAACAATTGGGGAGGAATGAAACGTGACTCGACTCACAAAGGCTCTCAGATATGAGATATGACTTTTGATTTCGACAATATGTCGAAATGTCTGCGAGTTTCCAGTGTCGAAACATCTCAATAAATAATATTTCTATCTTTGTTTGATCCAAGGATAATGAGAGGTATAGCAATATGTTTTTGTGTAAATTTGCACGAGTTTATAAAATTTTACGTATTGTAATATAATTTAGCAGCCAACCTTCAAGATTGAAGAGGCACTAGAAGAAGAAAAAGAACTATAACTATATTTAATTTCAGCGGATCACAGAGTAAGATAACAAACATAAAAATATAACCTGAAAATATTATGTTTAATAACAAACATGTTATTTACTATTTTTACTTAAATAGTGCTTCCTATATTATTCGTTATTAAAAAAATAACTGTTTAGTTTCCTTTTGTTTATTAATCTTTCTGAGACTAAAATTTTCGTTTAAAACATTATGATATTTCTGTTTTGTCAAAGATAACGATATTTTTTATAAAGAAATTTTGGTCTGAGAAACCAACGGTAAGTCATAATATGGAAAATGACCCAGACTCAACAAATCTATATATATAAAAGTAAGTCGTGTTAGTTACACTATTTATAACTCAAAAACGGCTTTACCGATATGCCTGAAAATTGGTGAAGAGGTAGCTTAGAGCCAGAAGACGGACATAGGATACTATTTATTAATTTTTTTACGAATTTATGCCTTGAAGAGCTGCTGTTTATTTAACTTATCTATATATTAAGTTTTTTTAACGGACGGACGGAGTCGCGGGCGACAGCTAGTTATTAGATAATTGAATCCTACAAATACAATATTGATACTCGTATTTGTATCATGTATTTCTTAATATTCTAATATTATTCTACACACTGCGTTGAAACATTATGACCCACTTGGCACAGAAACTTCGAGAAGTCAATTTTAATCGTGACTCGACTAAAATTTTCATTTTTAATATGTTGCCTCACACGGAAAGCTCTCTACAAAATGACTTTCTCAATTAACTAAATTGTACTTTTACATTTTATTCAATTTAAATTTTGTTAAATTTTGCAGCACAATTTTATACGACACAAATTTTATTTAATTAAGTTTTACTCGGATGATATCAAGTAAACGACACTTTGATTTCTCACACTTCTTCATAATCAAAACAAGCAATAAAAAAACTCGAGTTTTTTTTATTTTTATTTAAGAGCTTTTCCAACCAATGCCAATCAGGGTCCATTGGTATTCAACTTTTACACAGATTTGTTATTAATAACTTCACAACTAGATTTGAAAATTTTATATGTTTTCAATTTTATTTTATATAGCAGTAGTTACAGCCATTTAACAGTCCTCGTTAATTAAATTATTTTACTATTAATTAGTCATATTTAAAATGTCAAAAGATATCAAAAAGCATACAGACTCGGTAATTGGATATCCTTCAAAGTGTGAATACAATAAGGTACTAATAAAGGGTCGGATAGATCCCTTTGTTAGAGTTCCCAAGTAACGTTCTTTAATTAAACAAATGTGATCATTGTAAACAGACGCACGTAAATAAGGGTCAGGATTTCCTTTTTGCTAATATTATGTAGATATATAGATGTTTATGATAGTCATTCCTTACTCGCATTGTACAGTACTTGACTTTTTTGACGTCATAAATATACGTAGTTTAAGACGTATTAGTACGTCCAAAGAATCAAGTTTAAAGAATACACCGCTCAACAATGACGTAACTACGTTTTAGCTTTTTCTATGAAGAACTTTTCAATGAAAATTTCAACTTGAAATTATAATGTTCCCAACACTCTGATGATTTTTTAA